GACCAGGCTGGCCTTGAACTCACAGAGATCCGCCTCCCTCTGCCTCCTGAGTGCTGGGATTAAAGGCGTATGCCACCATGCCTGGCCAATAAATTATTTTTTAAAAAAATAAAATGTGATAGAACAAATAAACAAAAAAAGAATTTTGAAAGAGGATGTGTTAGTTTGAATGACAATGTCCCCCACAGGATCCAAATATTTGGACATTTTGTCCCCAGTTGGTGGTACTGTTTCAGGAGGTTTTAGGAGGTGAGGCCTGCTGGAGGAAGCATGTCACTAGGGGATGGGCTTTGAGTTTTTAAGCCTTGCCAGGTTTCCAGTCACTCTCTGCTTCCCTTGCCTGCTTGAAGATGTGGTCACTCTGCTTTCTGCTCTGGCCACCTCTGCTGCCATGCCTCCCGCTCCATTATGGACTCTAATCTCTGGAATCATAAGGCAAATAAACTATTCTTTCTATTAAAAAAAAAAAAAAGTGACTTAACTGGTTAGGCTGCTCATATGTCTCCTGTTAGCTCTTGAACAGAAGAAAATTCTGACAGGTTCGTCTACCTACCTGAGACCTCTTGGTATCACTAGGCAGGAGCAGACTGCCTGTGTTCACATTAAATGTCCTGGTCTTGGTTTTCACTGGTTCGTTTGTCTCTCGGTAGAGCCTCACAGGAGCAGGCTTGTAAGCCTTCTGGACCAGGTTATAAATGCCCACAGTGAGTGCTATGTCTTTACTGAGCTTAAACTTTAACCTGAGGAAGAAAAAAAATGAGAAGGCAGACTGAAGGACTGTGTTTTCTGATTTGCAATGTCTTCATGGCACACAAGCTGTGATTTGCTTTGTTCTTTTCAATGATCTCAGAATATAAACAGCTTACAGACTATAAACAAAATGCACCTCTAGGCAGGCATGAGGCCTTGGGTTTGATTGCCAGTACCAAAAAGAATACAATTTTTAAAATGTACCACTTTTACTTATTTATTTGTGGTTGGGGAGGGTATATATATATGCCATGGTCTTTGTGTGGTGAAAGGACAGCTTGCCAGAGTTGGGTCTTTCCTTCCACCATGTGGGTCCCAGGGATTTCACTCAGATCATCGGCATTGGCAGCAAGCACCTTTACCCTCTGAGTCATCTCAATGGTCCAATAATAATACAATTTTTAGCCAGGTGTGGTGGTGCACGCCTTTAATTACAGCACTTGGGAGGAGAGGCAGGCAGATCTTTGTGAGTTCCAGGCCAGCTGGGGCCACAGGGAGACCCAGTCTCAAAAAGACACACACACACACACACAAGTGATGAAAATACTTAAAAAAAACAAACAAACAACTTTTCAGTGATAACATCTGTTACATTTTGCTCCACACAGTCCGTTTTGGATGTTTACTTACTTCTCACAATAACCCAGCTGCTACTGCTACCTGCCACACAACAAAGAAAGCAAACCAGATCCTAGTGAGTAGAATGGCGCCTACTCAGACCTAGTGAGTAGAACTCAGACCTCAAGTACATGAGGTCTGCTGCTGAGCAGAACGCTGTGCCACCTCTTCCCAGAGGGAGAGAAGTCAATGCTACCCTGAGGTAAGCAAGTGGAGGGCAGTGAGGCAGGAGCACAGGCAGGAAGTCAAGTCTACATGTTGTCTGTGACTTGTTAGCCGAAGCGTGGGCAGCTGGCCCAGGATCAGGGCCCACCTGAACAGGACTCGCTTTTTGGTCTCCTTGGCGCGAACCTTCCTCAGCAGGTCTTCCAGCTTGCTTGATTCCTCAAAGTGAACCCTAAGATCTTCATCTTCACCCATGCTGATGACATCTCTATAGAACAGGGATACGTCAAAGCCCCCACGTTTCTTCAGGTGCATCAAGTCGAGGAAGATACCTGGTGCAAGGAGATTAAAGTGTGGGGGAATCAAAGTTCAGTGAGTGAGTTTCAGTTTTGTTTCAAGACAAGGTCTCATTATGTAGCCCTGGCTGTCCTGGAACCAGCTCTGCAGAGCTGGCTGATCTCAAAACTTATAGCAATTGATAGATTTTGAGGAGAGAGCGGGAGCAAGCTGATGGATGGAGGCACCAAGGCACAGATGGAATTCTCAGCGGGATACAGATTTCTTTCCCTCGGGGAAGGGAAAGATGTCAGGGAAAGAGGTCGCCCGGGGGTTGTGAGCTGGGACTTTATATATGGGGGCGTTAGGGTGTGGAAGGGGGAATGTTGGGGGGAGAAATCAGGGAGGGGGAAGCAGGTAGGATTAGGGTGTGGAAGTGTTTACTTTTTCCCTCTTAAGATGAGAGGAAAAACAGCTTCTAAAATCTCGGGTTATCAGGTAGAATCTTCTTATCTTATCTTTGGAGATCAGAGGAAAGGTAGGCTGCTTCTCAGCAGAGTTTGTTTCCCTTGACTCCAAAGGTCAAGGTGAGGTCCCTGTTGGGGAGGGGGGAAACTGCTGCTGTTATTTGGAACCCTAACAGCAATACCTCTGCTTCCATCTCAACCCCCACCCCACACCTCCCAACCCCCTACAGCTGCCAAGTGCTGATATTACAAGTAGTCAGCTAATGAGAATTTATTTTTTTTATTTTATGTGTACAAATGTACTGCCTGCATGTATGTGAGCGCACCGTGTTGTGCAATGCCACAGAGGTCAGGAGAGGGCTTCAGATTCCCCTGGAACTAGAATTAAGGACAGTTCAGAGCTGCCATGTGGGACCTGGGAATCAAACCCAGGTCCTCTGCAAGAGCAGTCAGTGCTCTTAACCGCTGAGCCACCTCTCCAGCCCTAGTAAAAATTTTTAAAAAGATGGTATCAGGTCAGCTGTGGTGGCATACACCTAGAATCCTAACATCTGAGAGTCAGAGGCAAGAGGATTGCCACAAGTTAGAAGTTAACTACACAGGGGGTTCCAGGACAGACAGGATTACACAATAAAACCATGTCTAAAAAAAGAGATAGAGCTGGGCGTGGTGGCACACACCTTTAATCCCAGCACTCGGGAGGCAGAGGCAGGCGGATCTCTGTGAGTTCAAGGCCAGCCTGGTCTATATAGTGAGTTCCAGGACAGCTGGGCTACAGGGAGACCCTGTCTCAAAAAGACCAAAAAAATAAAAAACTAAAAAAGAGATAAAGATCATGTCTAAACCAGGTATAATAGCTCATGCCTATAATCTCAGCACTTGGAAGGCTAAGACAGGAGGGTTACTGTGAGGTATCCTGAACTACATATTTAGTTTTGGGCCAGCCTGGGCTATATTTGTTTTTTTAGTCTCAAAAATACAGAAAAAGGGGCAGGAGAGATGGCTTAGTGGTTAAGAGCCATCTGCTGCTCTTTCAGAGGACCCAGGTTCAATTTCTAGCACCTTCATGGTAATTCCAGTTCCAGGGGACCAGACACCTTCTTCTGACCTCTGCAGGCATTGCACAACACAGGTGAACTTACATATCTAAAGGCAATACACTCATACACATTTAAAAAAAAACAAAAAAAATAAAAACAACAACAACAAAAAACTGGCTGGAGAGATGGCTCAGCAGTTAAGAACACTGGCTGTTCTTGCAGAAGACCTGAGTTCGAATCCCAGCACCCAAGTGGCAGTTAACAAGTGTCCATAACTCCAGTTCCAAGGGATCCAACAGCCTCTTCTGTCCTTCACGGATATTACATGATGCAGATGCATTTACCTACATGTAGGCATAACACTTATACACATAAAATAAAAATAATATTTTTTAAAAAAAAATTAAAGAATGGCCAGGTGTGGTGGCACACGCCTTTAATCCCAGCACTCAAGAGGCAGAGAGAATGGCTCAGACAGTAAAGTGTCTGCTGTGTAATCCTAAATTCAGATCCCCAGTACCACATAAAATCTGAATGTGGGGGCTAGAAAGATGACAGGGGTTAAGAGCACTGGCTACTCTTGCAGAGGACCCAGGCTCAGTTCCCAGCACTCACATAATGGTTAACAACTGCTTGTAACTCTAGTTCCAGTGGATCTAACGCCCTCTTCTGTCCTCCGTGGCCACTGTATGACATGGGTGCAATTACATACATGTAGACAAAAACCCTCATGCATTTAAAAATAAATATTTAAAAAAAAAAATTACAGACATAAAGCCAAGCATGGTTGTAGATCCCGCCTATAACCCACGAATTTGGAAGGTAGAGGCAGAAGGATCAGGACCAAGGTCATCCTTTTTCCACAACAAGTTCCAGGTCAGCCTGAGTGACATGAGGTTCTGTATGAAACCAAGAGACAGTGTCTCAGGGTCTTGCTATGTAGCCTGGCTGCCAACTCCTACTTCAGCAACTCTCCCAAGTAGCTGAAGCTAAAGGCACATGACACTAAAACCTGACTCAACTTATTTTCAGCTAAATTTACGTTTGTTTATGAGTATATTGAGTGTATTTCCTGCATCTATGTAAGTGCACCCATGCTGTGCAATGCCCGTGGAGGTCAGAAGAGGGTGTCAGATTCCCCTGGAACTAGACATACTGACAGTTGTTAGCCTCCATGTGGGTGCTGGGATTCAAACCCAGAGCCTCTGCAGAGCAGCCAGTGCACTTAACCGCTGAGCCATCTCTTCAGTTTGTTGTTTTTGAAAGAGGCTCTTTCTATGTAGCCCAGGCTAGCTTAGAACTCATAATCCTCCTGCCTCAGCCTCCCAAGGGCTGGGATTCTAGACATGTATCACCAGATGCAGCCAAACATCCTTTTAATATACCTCCCTAGGCTGGGCATGACAGTATACACTGGTAATCCTAGCACTTGGGAGAGTAAAGGAGGAGGACTGCCTGCTTCAAAAAAGAAACAAGACCCCAAACAAGCAAACAAAGAAACAAAAGGAATCACCCAGAAAAATCTGGACTATTAACATTTTCAGGACTTTGGAAAAGTGGCTGTATCAATCAGCTATGACTACTTCAGACAACATCTTCTAATAACCACCCTTCATAGCAGCACTGAAGACAGGCCTGCTGTGAAGAGCCCTTCAGACAGTCTGCAGGCCATTCTCAATGTTACCATACATAAGTGCCTTCCCTGGCTTTGCTTCATTCTTTCATTTGACTCTGGATAGAGAAAAGCAAATGCTTGACCCGAGAGAAAACAATAAATCAGGAACCTTAAAATAACGACGAAAATGCCCACCTGTGTCACGGAGGTCACTGGCTTTGGTCCTGGCCCGGCTTGCTTTGGCACTGTCATTGCCATGGGGGTCATCTTCGTTGGTGAACAACATAATCCTTTTATGACTCATCTTGAATTGGACATCACTGAAGAGGTTGGCGCAGACCCACAGCACTTCACTCAATGAGTAGTCAGATCCATGGCCAATTACGTCTTGGAAATGGTTTTTCCCCTGCTCTCCCTTAAACTGGTCAAGCTCTAGCATGCGCTTAGCACCTGATCAAGGCGGAGTCAAAAGGGCACAGAAACCAGAGGAATGGCAGTGCCTTCTTCACTACGCTAACAGGATAGGGACCCTTCCCAGTCAACCTAGTATAATACACAAAGGGGAGATCTTCCAACAGGGACCTCTGCAGGAAAGCACATCCCTAGACATGGTCAGTGCTGCCTCCTCCTCCTCTACAGCCATCTTTTGCCCAGCTTGCTGATGTTTTCATGTAAGGGGAACAGTGATCTTAGAATATTACTGACCTGGATTATCCAAATCTTGTAAGACATAAATATTTTTGAAATTCACTGAATTTCTGTCTTTCTTGGTACCATAGAACACCACTGCCAAGAGATCTCGGTCACTGCTTATGATCTTACTGGTGTACACACTCTGAATACACTGAAAAAAAAAAAAAATGCTATGAATATTTACTTAACACTAAACTTCTGGAAGCGCCTGCCACAGCAGGCACTTAACACATATTAACTAAGGGCTAAGAAATTTAACTCAGTTGGTAGACTACTTCCTGGCATGCACAAAGTCCTGGGTTCAACCCCTAGCATCATATAAACCAGATGTATAATCCCAGCACTCAGGAGGGAGGAGGATCAGGAGTTCAAGGCCAGCCTCAGCTACAAAGTTAAGTTTGAGGCCACTGCCTCAAACAATAAACAGGTATTGGGATGTTTCATGGTTAAGAGCACATGTTGTTCTTGTAGAAGACCCAAGTCCATGTCCCAGAACCCACATGGCAGCTCAAAACTACTTGTAACTCCAGTTTCAGGAAACAAGATGCCCTCTTCTGCCCTTAGAGGGCATCAGGCATACATGTGGTGCACATAACATACATGTAGGCCAACACTCATACACATAAAATAAAAATAAATAGCCAGGCATGGTGGCGCACACCTTTAATCCCAGCACTTGGGAGGCAGAGGCAGGTGGATCTTTGTGAGTTCAAGGCCAGCCTGGTCTACATAGTGAGTTCCAGGACAGCTGGGGCTACAAGGAGGCCCTGTCTCAAAAAGACAAAATAAATAAAAAAAATAATAAATAAATTAATTAATTAAAAATAAAAATAAAT